CACGGCGCTAGCACAGTGCCCCGCTCTGCGGGGCACGGTGCATGCGACCGTGGCTTGGCGCACAAAGTGCGCCAAGCCACGGCGCTAGGAGTGGGGGGTTTACCACCCACTCCATGCGACCGTGCCCAGGCGCACAAAGTGCGCCAAGCCACGGCGCTAGTCGCTGGCCGGCTATGCCGGCCAGCGGAATGCGCCCGTGCCCTGGCGCACAAAGTGCGCCAAGCCACGGCGCTAGTCGCTGGCCGGCTATGCCGGCCAGCTACATGCGCCCGTGCCCTGGCGCACAAAGTGCGCCAAGGCACGGCGCTAGTCCCAAGGGGGGGACTCACCCCCGACGGGACAAGCCCCTCGGGGGCTAGTCGCTGGCCGCAAAAAAAAAACCGCTGAAAATACCTCTCTTCTCGCTGAAAATGAGGTACTTCGAGATGATCTTTCAACTATTCGAGCAGAACATTCAGCTATTCGAGCAGAATTTTCAACTATTCAAGCTGAAAAGGATGAACTTCGAGAAGAAGTACGTTCACTTAATACTACTGTTTCAACTATTCAAGCTGAAAATGATGAACTTCGAGAAGAAGTACGTTCACTTAATACTACTGTTTCTACGCTAAACACTAACCTAACTGATCTAAACACTAACCTAACTGATCTAATTAATAAATTATTAGGTGGTGGAGGTGGTCCGCCAAGTGGTGGATCGTCTTCAGCTTCTTAGTCTAGAGGTTTAACGTGTGTATCTAACTAATATTAAACCTCTTGAACTACTTGAGTATTCTCATACCAAATCCTAAAATAATTTGATATAATTCTCTAAAAGATGATATAACATATAAACATTAATTACGGAGTACTACACAAGTTACGACCCGTCGATGCAGATTCGACTTTTAATTTCGTAATTATTGTATGATTGATGTTATTGACTCGATAGACTGTTACAATAATATTTAATAGTAAGTGTATGAAATACGTCCTTAATAGCAGGATTATATGCTAAATTGGGTCTCATGGCCCCGGGGTGGCCGGCGGACTTGGTCGCCCTCCGGCAGTTTTTCCCCCCTCCGCTCCTGGGTAAGCTTACCCAGGAGCCGATGGGGAGAAAAACCCCCGGGGATGATGTAACAACCCATTACTTATTTGAAGTATCTATGTAGAGAGATTTAGCTTAAATGGTAAAGCTCCTGACTTTTAATCAGGTTTGAATACTACTATTTGTAGTAGTGGTATCCAGTAACCAGGTTCGATTCCTGGAGTCTCTAATAAATAAACATTTTGATTGAGTATAGGCTTTTTGAATTATAAATATTAGTATAGGTGGTGATTTGGCTGGAAATAATGCATTATACGCTGAACTGGGGTCATAACAGCTTCCGTTGAAACACGGTCAAAATCGCTTTTGAGGCATGAATATCTGATTCGGTAAAATGGACTGGAATATGCCGGGAAATGGGCAATATACATAAATATGGAACAGCTCTCATTTTACACTCTATATAAGAGGTTTCATCCTCTTTTAACCAACTATTTATAGGCCTAAATGTCTTAGAGCTTATTATCCTTATTTCCTATTTTATTGGTTCTTCAAAGGGATATAACATTCACCTGATCACATTGCTAGTATAACTGGTGCTGGGAGTCCTCAGGCTAGAGCAATTTATGTTTATGATTTGGGTTATCTTTTAATTAATAAGTTTGATACTGTTGCTCAAGCTGCAAAATGGCTTGGAGTAACAGCGCCGTTCGTTTCTAGAATGGCTAAGATTAATGGGGTTGTTATACGGTAAGTCTAAAAGAATATTATATATTATTTTTGAAAAATATTTTATATTTTTAGATTGTGCCCCCCGGGAGACAAGGGGACAACGGTCCCGCCTCCCGGGGTAGTTATAAACCTATGGTAAATAGTAAACGGTCACAACCGACTCGTGGACACTGGAATGGGATGCTGCCCCTTGCGTTAGATTTTAGGTTTTTGGATTTCAATATAAGTAAAGGACAATAACAAAAAGGATAAATATTTAACTTCTTATGGTTAGATGGCTGTTCTCTACTAATGCGAAGGATGGAAGGCAGTCCCGGCACTAAGTAATTAGTACTGTTTAACTAAGCTATATGCTGGAAAATTCTTAAGTTTTATCGACCTGTAAGGTAAAATGATATAAATTGGATGATCAGCAGGTAAAAAAAGAGAACCTCAGAGACTTCAAGCTAGCATCCTATTAGGATGATGATAAAGTCCAAGGGTATAAACCCTTGATCGGTACTTTATATATCATCTTCTCTATCTTTGCGGGGATGGTTGGTACTGCCTTCTCTATGCTAATCCGACTGGAATTGGCAGCTCCTGGGGTACAGTACTTACAAGGAGATCATCAATTATATAACGTGATCGTAACAGCCCACGCTTTCATTATGATTTTCTTCCTGGTTATGCCAGGCTTATTATCTGGTTATGGTGTACTTAGTAATGTTTTAGGCCATGCTTTGCGTACTTTACGTTCTTCAGGAAATAATAGTTCTTCTGAAAACAATGGAACTACTAGGACCAAAGAGCCCTCATCCAGCGGGCCCGAGCCTGCCAAGGGTGGTACTGCCCCAGTACATACAACACACCTCTTTAAGGATCCTCTTAATTCAAGAGACCAAATTAGAGATATTACTAAAGATCAAGTTGGTGTATATGTTTGGACTAATTGTAGGAATGGGAAACAGTACGTGGGATCAAGCGTGCATTTAATTAATCGTATTGCTTCCTATTTCTATCCCTCTATTGTAAGCTCTGGAACACGGTACATTTTACGGGCTCTTTTTAAGTGGGGAATGGTAAATTTTTCATTAACTATTCATATTCTTCCAGCAGGTAGTCCCCTGACTACTGTTCTACAGCTTGAACAGTACTATATTGATCTATTAAACCCTGCATACAATATTCTACGAGTGGCTGGGTCGTCAGTTGGTAATCCGTTCTCAGAAGAAAATAAACAAAAATTGAGAGAGGAGCGAGGTTCTAGAGTGTTTATTTATAATGCTACCGGAACTCAATTACTCTTTACGTTTCTTTCACGAACTCATTTATGTTCGGTGCTACATATTGATATCACTACTTTAAAGGCCTTCCTTAATACTGGGGAAGTTTATATTAATAATTTCCTCTTTTTTGATGATCTAATTGAAGGTGTTAATAATTCTAATACCCTAAGTCTAGATGAGTTTGTTGCATATTTTTCTTCTAAATATGCCGCATTTAAGGACCAACAGGGTGGATTTAGCCCACGGGCTCGATCTATTTTAGCCACTCATATTTCAGTTCCTTCTTTATCATTTTCTAAATCTTCTATGCAGGCAATGGGTAGACATTTTAATGTAGACCATAGCACGATTAGAAGGTTAGTAAAATCCGGCAAAGTATTTAGAGGTTGTTGGAAATTTTCGGTTAAGTAAATTTTCCATCCCACTGCAAAGCAAGCTGTATTTACATAACTAAGTTACTATTTACTGGACGTACTCTAGTCGGTTCTTTCAATTTCTATAGTACAGAATTTCACTATATGCTGGAACGTCATAAATATTTTATTGACTAGTTCAACAAGGGGCTTTGCCCCATACCTCCCCCCCGTAGTAATACTAATAAAATTTTGATAATCAGCAGGTAACTATTTAATATATCTAAAGCACCCCAGATACTACTTGTGAAACAGAGATTATATTCTGAAGATATAGTACCCCAATATTTAAGTGCCTTTGAAACCTTCCGGGGCTTCAAGGCCAAGTTTGCTGGGTAGACTAAGAAAATATCCAATGCTCGATTTTTTATCAGACATTGTTTGTTTATTGTGCAGCACATGAGACATTCTAATGTTCCTTCTGAATCTAGTATGTATGTGGCAATCAATTTTGTATGGACCTGCAGGGAAAACGGTCCAAAGTGGATATTCTAAGGGATCGACAGGGAAACCGGTCCAAAGTGCCACAGGAAAAGCCCCTCAAAACGAACGGGGTTATTCAACAAGCAGCGAAAATAGTACAAAGACAGTGCCTCAATACGAGACTCATTCTTTTGAGAATCCTGCTTTATGTAGAAAACTTCTAAATATTGTTATGAAAGGTCGAGTAGGTGTATATATTTGAACAAAGACACTTAATGGTAAACAGTACGTAGGTTCGTCTTCTAATTTAATCAATAGAGTCTCTTCATATTTCTATCCTTCTGTAGTTGGTGCTGGAACTCGATATATTTACAGAGCTTTGGTGAAATATGGTATGCTTAATTTTACTTTGACTCTTCATTTACTTCCAGTTGGAACTACTGATCTAGCATCCATTTTAGCCGCCTGTTCACCGGCCCCCCAAAGGGGGGAGGGTGGCCAGCGTTTTTTTTTTGCAAGACGGCGCTCGTCGCTTGCCGCAAAAAAAAAAAGAGCGCCGTGGCACCCCCCCGGTGGTTAGAACTACATTTTATTGATACCTTAAATCCAGCCTACAACATCCTTTTAGTTGCGGGATCCAGTATTGGAAAGCGTCTTTCGGCCCCGGGCCGCGAGCGTCTAGCGACGTGTGCCCGGGGTTTTTTTTTTGCTGGATTTTTTGGCCAGCGACTAACGCCGTGGCCAAAAAAACGGCAAACTACGTCTGCCAGCAAAAAAAAAAGAGGCTACCAAACAGCAGTTGCGTGAGGAAAGAGGAACAAATGTTCATTTTTATACCTTTGATGGCGGTCGACTTCTTTATACTTTTTTAAGTAAAACTCAACTACAACAAGTTTTACATATTCATCATACTACTTTAAATATTTTTTTAGATTCGAACCAAGTGTATCTTAATGCCTTTATTTTAAGAACAACCTTAATTGAAGGAGTTTTAAAAGAGGCCCGGTTCTTTAAGTCTTAGGGAGTTTCTTGCTTTATTTTCCTCGGGGGTTAGTCTCCCCATCGGCTCCTGGGTAAGCTTACCCAGGAGCGGAGGGGGGAAAAACGACCGGAGGGCGACCAAGTCCGCCGGTCCCCCCGAGGACCGTGATGCACATGATAAGGCTAAGGCTATTATGAATGCTACTAAGCGTCATCCTAATTCTCAAGCAGTAACAGCAGTCCACCTTACGGACCCTACTCAGTCTTTTAGTAGCCATTCCCTTAGAAAAATGGGTGAACACTTTGGTGTTGATAAATTAACCATTTCTGCTTACGTTGCTTCAGGTGCAGTGTTCAGAGGAAATTGGAAGTTTTTATTTAGTTAAAGTTTTTGATCGAAAATATATATATATATATATTTTTAATTTTTATATTATATATAATATAAAAATCGATTGGCCACCGGCGGGCCCGGCCACGGCGCTAGTCGCTGGCTTTTATTAAAGCCAGCGGAATGCGACCGTGTCCGGGCTTTTGTTAAAGCCCGGCCACGGCGCTAGTCGCTGGCCCGGGCCCGGCAGTACTCAAATTTTTGATCTCTATTGTTATTTAGCTCTAGTAGCTGGCAAGTGGTAACTATTCCAACCTGCGGTAAATTAGGTTATCATTAGGAATAGTGAGGGCGGGTTTGGGGTTTGTGAGCTACATAGATATGCTGAACGGATCTGTGCTGTACTATAAATTTTTCATCCGCCCTAATATCTAATGCGGTTAAACGGATTAAGTATTATAATTTCACTATATGCTGGAAAATCTTCAAATTTTATTGACTAATCCCGCGGGGCCCACGGGAGGGACGGCGCTAGACGCTTGCCCCCCGTGGGTTAGTAAAACTAATAAAATTAGACAATCAGCAGGTAATTATTTAAGATACCCCAGAAACTACTTGTGAAACAGATATTATAAACTGAAGATATAGTTCCCAATATTATTTGTGCACGATAGAGTGCACGGGGACCCCCCGGCCATAGGTCACGGGGGGTCCCAACATTTTTTGCGGCATGCGACTAGCCCCCGAGGGGCTTGTCCCGTCGGGGGTGAGTCCCCCCCTTGGGACTAGCGCTGTGGCGCTGCGCCTCTGGCGCAGCGACACGGGCGCATGTCGTGTGCTATGGCACACGACTAGCGCTGTGGCGCTGCGCCTCTGGCGCAGCGACACGGGCGCATGTCGCATGCCTGGCTCCGCCAGGCAAGCGACTAGCGCCGTCTTGCAAAAAAAAAACGAAGCACTAATTGGTGGATTTGGTAATTGATTCGTTCCTTTAATGATTGGAGCTCCTTTTTCTTTTCAGGGGCTATTTAAATTTGTATTTTGTTTTTTTGTTTTTCTGCGGGCACATGTCCGCCCTTAG